CCTGAACTTGATAAAGTTTCCAGCAAAACTTATGACATAGATTACAGAAAATCTTTTGGTAAACATCAGATTTAATGGTGGGACATTAGAAACAGTCATCACTATTACCACTAATAATCAACATTGTACAGGAGGTCCTAGTTAATGCTGTAAGACAAGGGAAAAACAATAACAAACACATGATTGGAAAGGAGGAGATTACACTATCGTTATTTGCAGGAGATTTGACCACCTTCTGAAAATACCTAAACTAGTAGAACTAATCAGGAGAATGCAACAAATAGGCCAGTGGAAGATCAACTTATCTATGGCAACAGCTTTTCTATACACCAGCAATACTAATTTAAAAAGGTCAAGGAGTAAAAGTCCACTGACCATAGCAACAAAACCGTAAAGTTATCATGAATAAACTCACGTGCAAGCTCTTTGTGGAGGAATTATAAAGCTTTCCTGAGGACATCAAAGAAGACTTCATTAAATAGAGAAATACGCTAAGTTCTAGGATGGAGAAACCTAATATTGTAAAAATACCATTTCTTCCCAGTTTGATAATTTTAGTGCAACCCAGTCAATTTTTAAAACCCATTGCTGTCAAGTCGATTCCGAAGACCGAAGAACTGACGCCTTTGAATTGTGGTGTTGGCGAAGAATACTGAATATGCCATGGACTGCCAAAAGATTGAACAAATCTGTCTTGGAAGAAGTACAACCAGAATGCTCCTTAGAAGCAAGGATGGCGAGACTATGTCTTACATATTTTGGACATATTGTCAGGAGAGATCAGTCCCTGGAGAAGGACATCATGCTTGGTCAAGTAGAGGGTCAGTGAAAAAGAGGAAGACCTTCAACGAGATAGATTGACACAGTGGCTGCAATGGGCTCAAGCATAATAATGATTGTGAGCGTGGCGCAGAACCAGGCAGTGTTCTGTTCTATAGTACATAGGGTCGCTATGTGTTGGAACCTACCCGACGGCACCTAACAACAACAACAATCGATTTCTAAGATTATTCATAGAATTTCTCTTTTCAAGGAGAAGAGTAATAGTAGCTGCCATAGATCAAATTATGTCCCCCAAAAAAATGTGTGTATCAGTTTGACTGGGCCATGATTCCCAGTATTGTATGGTTGTCCTCCATTTTGTGATTGTAATTTTATGTTAAAGAGGATTAGGGTAGGAGTGTAACACCCTTACTAAGGTCACATCCCTGATCCAATGTAAAGGGAGTTTCCCTGGGGTGTGGCCTGCACCACCTTTTATCTTACAAGAGATAAAAGGAAAGGGAAGTAAGCAGAGAGTTGGGGACCTCATACCACCAAGAAAGCAGTGATGGGAGCAGAGGACGTCCTTTGGACAGGGGGTCCCTGTGTGGAGAAGTTCCTAGTCTAGGGGGAGACTGATGTGAAGGTCGACAGAGAGGGAAAGCCTTCACCTGGAGCTGACGCCCTAAATTTGGACTTCTAGCCTACTAGACTGTGAGAAAATAAATTTCTCTTTGTTAAAGCCATGCACTTGTGGTATTTCTGTCATAGCAGCACTAGATGACTAAGACAGTAGCCAAGACTATTTTGGAAGAAAAAAAAAAAGACAGATTTGTTCTGTCTGATATTAAGACATATTATAAAACTGTAGTAATTAAAACAATGAAATGGGTACAAAAATGGATAGTTCGATCAATAAAACATAATAGAAGTCAATCAAACAGACTAGAGCATCCCGTGTATATATGGGAATTCATTGTATAACAGGGATGGCATATCAAAACTATGGGTAAAGAATGAACTATTCATTAATGAATGGGTTGACTAGCTGGTGCCCGGCTACCACCACTGAATGCTCTGACTGGGATCGCAACAGAGGTTTCTGGACAGAGCTGGAGAAGGATGTAGAACAAAATTCTAACTCACACATAAAAAAGACCAGATTTACTAGCCTAAAGGAGACTGGAGAAACCCCGAGAGTATGGCCCCCGGATACCCTTTTAGCTCAGTGGTGAACTCACTTCCAAGGTTCACCATTCAGCCCGGGATTGGACAGCCCCATAAAACAGAATGGGACTAATGAGGCACAGCAGTCCAAGGACAAGGACTAGAAGGCAGACGGGGACAGGAAAGCTGGTGATAGGGAACCCAAGGTTGAGTAAGGATAGTGTTGATGTGTTGTGAGGTTGTTAACCATTGTCATAGGGCAACTTGGGTACTAACTGTTTAATGAGAAACTATTTTGTTCTGTAAACCTTCAGCTAAAGTGAGAATAGCAGCACAATTGGAAGAATGTAGTCGATGTCACTGAACTGTGCGTGTAGAAATGTTTGAAATGGTGTATCTTTGGCTATGTATATTTTCATCAAAAAAAGGTGTCATGGGGTTGTTAACCAGTGTCATAAAACATTATGTGTACTGACTGTTTAATGAGAAAATATTTGTTCTGTAAACCTTCACCTAAAGTACAATAAAAAAATTAAAAAAAAATTTCAAACAAGCGAAAAAAGAAAAAAAGAAAGAAATGGGTTGAAAAATAAAATGGTCAATGTTGCTAAGTGAAAGAAGCCAGTCTGGAAAGGCTACATACTGCATGATTCCAACTATGTGACATTCTGGAAAAGGCAAAACTATAGAGACAGTGAAAAATCAGTGGTTGCCAGGGGCTCAGGGGGAGGGTAAGAAGGATGAGTAGGTGGAGCACAGGGCATTTTTAGGGCAGTGATGGTGGATACATGATATTATGCATTTTTCAAAGCTTACAGAACTATACAACCCAGAGTGAACCTTAATGTAACCTATGGCCTTTAATTAACAACGTGTCAATATGGTTCATCATTTGTAACAGAGATGTTACTAACAGGAGACACTGTGCTGAAGCAGAGGCGGGAAGGGAAGGATACGGGAACTCTCTGTACTTCCTACACAATTTTTCAGTAACCCTACAACTGCTCTAAAAAATAAAGACTATTATATTAAAAAAAATAAATGAAGTCCATTAACGTTTAAAATAAATAAGTAAATGGCTGGGCAGCCATCCACATGCAAACAAAGTCCCTACTTAGACTACACACAACAAATTCCAGATGGATTTAGAAATAGTGCTAAAGCAAAACTTAAACATATTTGAAGAAAATGTATGTATTTTTAAATGTCTCGATGAGTCTATTCGTCAGGATTCATAGTTCCAACCAACAAAAACCAACTCTGGCTAACTTAGGCAGAAATGGCATTAATTTGTGGGAAGGAGATCCAATAACATAGCTAGTGGATGGAAAGGCTAAAGAACCAACTGCAGAGCATAGCAAAAAACAAAATTTCACCTTAAATAGAACACAAAAGGGAAGAAACATCCAGAAAAAAATGATAAATTAGACTATGTCTGAATTTATAAAGAAATCCTAGAAAACAGCAGGAAAATAATTTTACAACCACTTTGGAAGGCATTTTGGCAGCATTTAATCAAGCTCATACTGTGCCTACTCTGATCTTGTAAGGCCCACCTCTTAGTAGCCACCTGGAGAAATACTCACACTTGTGCCTAAAGAGATGTGACTAAGAGGGAGTGGTGCAGCCTTATCTGTAATTCTGAGACCTTGGAATCAACCTAGACATTCATCCAGAGTGAAAGGGATAAAGTGGAACATCGAGTAGCTGGTAAAAAGAATGTGACATCATAGATAGCTCTCAAAGAGCTCCAGAGAGCTTAACTTTGATTGTAATTACCCATGATTCATGTGGTTATTAATTCCTGCTCCATGAGAGAGTGATAGCATCACATTTGCTCCTCATTGTGTCTGATCACCCACTCCATGCCTGCATAGAGCAGCACCCAGGAACTATTTGTAGAAAGCTTTAAAAACCAAAGGCTAGCAAACCTGACTCTGTGCACTTCCTAAAGCCAGCATATATTGGGGCCTCAACTTCATGACACCTAAAACTGAACTCATTGTCACTTCTCTTCTAACTCCTCCAAGGTTCCCTACTGTTGGCTGTTCAAGTGTGAAACCCAGGATTTTTTGATTCTCCACTCTTCATATTTAACCAGTCTCTTAGCCTGTAGATTCTTCTCTTCATTCCCACAGCCACCTGCCTAATCCAATCCACCATCATCTCTCCCCTGGACTACTACAAGAGTTGTTAATCTGTCTTCCCTGATCCACTTTTGTCCCTGACCAGCCATTCTCCACCTAGCTCCCAGAGCCACTGACTTCAAAGTGTGCTGTAACCATGTGACACGGTGCATCTGTCACTCAGCATGTCTGTAGTTATTGCTTCAACCGTTGGCTTACCTGTCAAGGGCCTGCCTAACTGTCCTGGTTTGTCCAGGACTGAGGGGTTCCTGGGACACAGGAACTCAAACTAGGAGAGTCCTAGGCCAACTGGGACGAGCTGGCCAGCCTACTTCCCTCCCTGCTGGGCTGTAATTCCCATAAGGGCAGGGATCATGTGGGTCTTATTCACTGCCACAGCCCCAATGCCTAGCAGAGCAAGGACTCAAAAAAAGTTTTTTTTTGTTGTTGTTTTTATTTTATGGAGTTAAAAACTGAGTATAAGTACAGTGATGGTGGGGCACTCACCTTTATGGGTCCAGCAGCTCACACAGGGCCCAGCACCCCGTAGGTGTCCAAGTAGCAGTTTGCAGATAAGGAACTGTTCACCTGATTGCCGTTATCTAAACTGCTTTACAGAATCAGCTCTAACCCCTCTGAAAGGAAACACCATGCTGGTGCAGGCTGCAAGGCTTCCGGCAGCTGCTTATGTGCAAATCCCCTCTACTCTCTACTCTTGATTAGATGGTGGTTTCCAGAACTTTCACTGCTATACACGGTGACTCCACAAAACCAAACCCATTGCCAACGAGTTGTTTCTGACTCATAGTGACTCTATCAGACAGAGTAGAACTGCCTTATAGGGTTTCCAAGGCTGTAATCTTTAGGGAAGCAGACTGCCACACCTTTCTCCTGTGGAGCCGATGGTGGGTTTGAACTGCTGACCTTTTGGATAGCAGCTGAGCCCTTAACCACTGCGCCACCAGGGCTCCTTCACTGACTCCACAAGCCCTCTTTAATGTTCCTGCTCTCAAATGGAACAGTAGTAGGTAGCCAGCTGTGGCTGACAATGGCTGCTTTCGTGTCAGGCTCCAAAGGTCGAATCTGTACTTCATCACTTACAGGCTGTGTGACCTTGGGCTAGTCACTTCTCTGAGCCCCTGCTTCTGTATCTGAAAAAGAAAAGAGTTCATGCCTGCCCTTTCTAGCTCACAGTGCTATTGTGAGGTTCAAATAATATGTATAGAAAACCAAATCTGTTGCCATCAAGTTGATTCCAACTCATAGCGACCCTATAGGACAGAGTAGAACTGCCCCATAGGGTTGCCAAGAAGTGGCTGGTGGATTTGAACTGCTGACCTTTTGGGTAGCAGCCAAGCTCTCAACAGCTGCACCACCAGGGCTCCAATATGTGTAGAAGTACTTTGTAAATGCTAAAAGGCTAGCTAGATATTATGCTTATAATTTCCAGTCTTTCCCCACCCATTTGATGAAGTCAACACAGATTTATTTTCTTGTTCCACAGAAACTTTAGGATTAGGGCCAGAGAACTCCTGGAGTCTTCCAGAACTGAGTGAGGCTGCAGAGAGGGGAGGTACCAGGTTTCTTCTGAGACCCTGAGAGAAGGCATCGGTGTTTTCTCTGTAAGCGATTGGAAAAACCTGTGAAGTCCCCAAGAGTTGTGACCCTATTTTGTCCATCTTTTATCCACCCCCAGCACGTATAGAGCTGACTGGCAGAAGACCCGGGCCACATACTGCCTTCGCACAAATTGTTCAGAACGGGCCAGTGTCCGAACCCCTTGCCTAAAATAATTCCCAAACAACTCCATCTCTCGGGAACTCCTCTGCCCTTTTAATATCCAAGCATCTAAATAAAACAAAGGTCCAGTCTGCGTTATTGCAGCTCATAAAAAAATGTCTGGATAGATTTTCACCAAATTGGAAAGGCATGTTGGGGACGGTCAGCCTTAAAATATAAACTGCACACTGTGATTGAAATTAATCTTATACCTGGGGATCTGCTTCCAAAAGTTCACAGCCATGAAAACCCTATGGAGCGCAGTTCTACTCTGACACACCTGGGGCCACAAGTGAGTCGGGAATGACTGGACAGCAACTGAAAACTAATAACATCTGTTAATTCCTTAAGGAATTTAACACACATATTATCAGACCAAGGAGCCTTGGTGGCGTAGTGGGTAAGTGCTCGGCTGCTAACTGAAAGGTCAGCGGTTCGAACGCACAAGCCGCTCCACAGTAGAAAGACGTGGCAGCCTACTCCTGAAAAGATTACAGCCTAGGAAACCCTATGGGGCAGTTCTACTCTGTCCTGTAGGGTTGCTATGAGTTGGAATTGACTTGAAGTCAATTGATTGGGTTTTGGATTATTACCAGACCCTGCTGATTGAAAAAAGAAAAGAAATTAACCTTAGGGGCTCCAGGAGATGTGTCAAAGAGTTAGGTCATTGCCTTCCAAACATCAGCACCTGAGACAATGAGTCGTGTGTGGCTGCCTGTGGGGAGATGGCCTACATACCAGGATGCGATGATCAGAGATAACTGGCTTCAAATACAAGCCTGAAATCAAGACTCAGTGCATTTCCAGAGCCCTTTCTGTGCCCAGTTTAAGGCCTCCAGCTGAGAGCCGGGTGGAAGACACTAGTTAGTCTGTTCTTTATTTTCACTGGAAAGTTACAGGGTTACTTATCAATAAAATGACTGTCCAGGGCAGAGAGATCCAGTGGTTTCTATGTACAAGCCCATCCCTGGGGTCCACACCTCCACAGGGGCCTCGACCTCTGAGGCCTCACTTGGCCCCTTACCAGTCCTCCAGGAACCAGTCACACCATTGCCGGGAACAAAAACCAGCCTGACCTCGGCACCTGCTTTCACCTCAAAAGGTGGCAGCTGCTGGTGTGGGACCCAGGCCGAACTTCTGGCCAGTGGGTTGGGGGCCTCTCTGCCACGAGCCTGCCCTTCCCACACCACTCTGCAGGCAGGCTGTCTCAGACATTCCCAGGGCTTCTTTGACTTGGGTTCCTGCTCCAGCTTTCTTTGCCTTCAAGTTGTTGTTTTTAACACTGAGGCATCCCACACTCCCATCCTAAAGGAGGCGGGTTTGCTCTGTTGCCTTTTCTTGGGTCCTTATTTTTGTACAAATACAATACTGTCAATTGGACCATTTTTTTGCCCAGGAAATAAAAATGGCTCAGCAGGTACAGTTCTGCAAGTCGATCTGCTTCCGGCAGGGCTCCATGGTGACAGCAACGCCAACCCCGCTCCGGCCAGACGTCATGTGGGTCACCTCACTCCAGGTGTCCGTGTCTGGGTCATAACACTCCACGCTATCCAGAAACGTGTGACCATCATAGCCTCCTGCAGGGAGAGCAAGGGGGGCAGTCACGGGTCACGCCCCCTTAGGGGACCAGGAAAGAGGAAAAGCAAGGTCTCAGGAGGCTAACCCCAGAAGAGGGGGCAAATCAGGGATCTCTGTCCCCCAGCCCCTGCCCCTGAGGCCTCACCAAGGACGTAGATCCTCCCCTGGTGCACAGTAATCCCCAGGGCGCTCCGCCGATGCTTCATGGGGGCTACAAAGGTCCACGTTTCTGTCTCCACATCGTAGCGCTCCACACTGTTGAGCTGGTCCTGACCGTCGTAGCCCCCCGCGGCATAGATACAATTGTGCAGGACGCAGACTCCTAAACCACACCATGCAGAGAGGGTGACTCTGGGGCCTGGCCTGGAGGCCCCAGCCACCATCTTCCCAGAGGGGGGCCGTCCCCCCTCCCCCCTCCCCTCTCCCCTCTTCCAAGGGACTCTTCAGAAACAAAGACAGGAGAGAGGGAGCTTGGATTCTGTCAGAATCTAGCTCTCCTGTGTGTGTGAGAGGGTTTGGCCTCACTCAGGCCTGGCCAAGTTTCATCTGGGGTGCGAGGTATTCCTTGAGGCTCCTCCTTCCCCACAGTCCCCGCCCACCTGCCCCACTTCGGATGGTGTTCATGGGTGTGATCATTCGCCACTCATCCCTCTCTGGGTAGTAACACTCAGCCGAATTGAGGCGGTTTGTCCCGTCGAATCCCCCGACAGCATAGAGCAGACGGTTGAGGACAGCCACCCCCACCCCGATTCTTCGCGTCAGCATGGGGGCCACCAAGTGCCACTCGTCCCGCTCCGGCTCATACCTGCAAAGGCATAATAACAATGACGGGGATGAGAACAGCAAGCACAGCTGACCCTCCTGGAGCTCTTTATACGCTTGAACTCTTTAATCCTCATGATGTTCTACAAGGCGGGCATGACCAGGAGCCCATTTTCCAGGTGAGGAAACTGAGGGTCACAGCCATTATCTATCTGCTCAAGGTCACACCCACAACTATTGGACCCCAGTAGTTCAATACTACCACTGCCAGGCCCCACGCTGAGTGTTATGGGTGTGATCTCACTGCAGCCCCCACCCAGTCCAATGGGGCAGGTGGTCCTTATTATCATCCCCCACCTCACGGATGACAAGATGAGGGCCAGAGAGGCAAAGTGTTATGCCCAGAGTCACCGAGTAAATGGCAGAGCGGGGTTTGATCCAGCCCTCGACAACACCAGAACTTCAACTCTAATAACCAGCTCTGGCCCAGGGCAGGATCTCTCAAAGTGTGATGCTCAAAGATGCACGCTCTGGTGTAATTATTACTCGTGCCCCTGTCCTCAAAAGTGCCTTGCTTGGAGTGACTCATCACCCCATCATCCTATTCATAGACCACTTACATTCTTACATTAGAAGTCTCTGGGGCGTTTGTTTAAAATTCCCGTTCCCCAGATCTCTGGCATCCTCAGCAGTGGCTAGGAATTTGCCTTTTTTTTAACAAGCTCTCCAGGTAAAAACTGCATCCTAGGCCACACTTCTGGAGAAGAAGGCAGAGGACTAGACTACACAAGGGCCAAAGTCCCAAAATGATCGGCCTCTATAAACACAGGGCTACCAAGCACAGCTGTGCAATATGGGCACTGTACAAGGGTACCATATCTAGGTGGGCAGTTCCAACATCAAAGACCTCATAACATCTACTTATTATGACAATTTTTGGACAGATAGCAGCGAAATATCATGTTTCAAGAAAATCCACATATTACTACAATATGGATGGAACCCTTTTCAAATCTGCGCAAAGGAGCTGTATAGGTTTGTGATGGCCCTATAAGCAATTCCCAGCCCTAAGCACACTGCACAAGGTCACCAATCATAAATCCTCCAGGAGTTCAACTTCCACCTTGAGGCTTCCACTCGCTGAAGGCAGGGAGCAGAGAGAAGCCCTCGACAATAGGCAAAATCCTGGATCCCAATGGCTTGGGCTGTCACAGTGGGAACCTCAGAGCTCCTCCCACCCACCACTCACCTCTCCACACTGTTATGGTGGATGCAACCATGGGAACCACCGACGGCATAGATGTGCCCGTCAATGACCCCAACCCCGATGCGGTTGCGTGGCACACTCATGGGGGCGCAGGGTGACCATTGGTTAGTCATGGGGTTATAGCAGTCCAGGGCACTGGAGTCGGTGTTGCCATCCGGTGAGTTGTTGCGGCCGCCCACGGCATACAACAGCCCGCCCACCACACAACCTGCCAGGCCACTACGTGGCACCTGCAGGTCTGCCAGTCGGAGCCATGTGCCATCGCTAGGGTTGTAGGCTTCCAGGTAGCTGAGTGACTGGCGGAAGTAGCCACCAGCCGCGTAGATGAGCCGGCCCACCTTGGGTGCCCGGCAGGGCATCACCTGCGTGGGTTTGTGCAGCGTGAGCTCCTGGAAGATCTTGACCAGGTAGTCCTTGCAGCGGGAGTCCGACTTCAGGATCTCGCACTTCTGCAGCTGCATCTGCAGGAAGTGGGGCGTGAGCGAGTGGCAGCGCACGGCCCTCAGCAGCGCCTGCACGTAGAAACGCCGCTGCTCGCAGTCATACTTGACCCAGTTGATGCAGGCGTGGAAGACTTCCGACTCGCAGCGCACGTTCAGATCGTCCCGGCTGATGAGTGTCGCCAGCTGGCAATGGGTCAGGTTGAAGAACTCCTCTTGCTTGGCCACCTGCAGAGGGTGTTAGTGTGACAGGCTGACTCCTGTGTCACTCCCCCACCCCTCGCCTCGTAGGAGCGGTAGGATCTTGGACAAGGCATTCAACTTACCTCTGACACAGTCTCAGTTTCCTCATCTGTAAAATGGGGATTCTAACAGTATGAGGGTTACATGAATTAATACTGTGTGCCAGGCACATAAGGTCTCTGGGTGGCGCAAACAGTTTGAGCTCAACGACCAACTGAAAGGTTGGCAGTTTGAACCTATCCATTGGCACTGCAAAAGAAGACCTGGCGATCTGCTTCTGTAAAGATTACAGCCAAGAAAACCCTATGGAGCAGTAACACATGAGGTTGCCATGGGAATCCACTCACGGTAACGGGTTTGCTTTATTTTTATTTGACAGTCATGTAGTATGTACTCAGGCAGGTAAATGGGTGAAGATACGATGTACCATGTACCTTTTTGTATCATTTGGTTTTTGAACTATAAGAATACCTTACCTATGTTTTCTTTTAATGAAATCACATTTTTAAAAAGAGCTGATTGACTAAAAAGGAAAAAATTAACAGCAATAGAATATTCTGGGGGAAAGCGAAGGCTCTGAAAAAAACAGCCTGAGCTGCAATTCTGGCTTCACCACTTTGTAGCTGTGTGACTGTGGGCAAATCTCTGAAACTCTCTGGGATGAGGACACCATCAACCCCAGCTGGTCCCAGTTATCGGAGGAGGACTTATAAGATTTCAAGGAAGGTACTGCAAAGCTGGGTACTCTCTGAGGCTTGGCACCTGGGGACCTGCTCACCTGCCCAGGTCTAAGGGCGATACTTCCTCACTGAGTGGCTGGGAAGAGTCAATGATTTAAAGTATATAGAAGAGAGCCTGGCACACAACAAGTGCTCGAAAAACATTATTATTATTATCATCTCGGGGTGCCACTGCTAGGTGTTGCCATGCAGGAACTGGGGCTCATCACTGTGACTTTTCACGATATTTTCCGTTGACAACTTCCTCCACTTAAAAACGAAAATGAAACCAGAAAACAACAGTAAGAATGTCACAGATTCTTAGCTCAAGTAGACACATGAGACTAAATGGGCAGCTCCTGTCCAGAGGTGAGATGAGAAGGCAGAGAGGGTCAGGAGCTGGTTGAATGGACATGGGAAATCAGGGGTGGAAAGGAGGAGTGTGCTGTCACAGTATAGGGAGAGCAATTAGGGTCACATAATAATGTGTGTATAAATTTTTGTATGAGAGACTAACTTGAATTGTAAACTTTCACTTAAACTACAATAAAAAAAAAAAAAGGACACAGAGTGGGCCAAAGAAAACACATCTGTAGGTCAGACTCGCAGTTTACAGCATGTCACGGGTGTTCAATAAATATTTGCTGACGGCCTGAAAGGCTGGGCCCTGCTCAGCACACCCTAGGACTGGGCTGCTGTCATGTCCACTGTACCCTGTCTCCACCCTGGACCTATGAGAAACCAGGGAGCCCAAGGCCCACAGAGGCCTCCCTTTCCTCGGCTGTTTCCCAGTCTAGCAGATGTGTGGACTAGAAGCTCGGAACCCCATTTCTCTCCAGCTGCCTACCTTGACCCTTCACATCCCACGGGGAGACGTGATGACTTCCCGTCCGCCTGTCCCTGGTCCCTCCCCTCCCACTGCCCCAGCCCTGGTTCCATGTACCCTCCTCCATGCTCACCTCCCCGAAGTGCATGTAGATGTACTCCCGGGCGCGCTGGTGCAGCTCAGCACAGCCAATCTGCTCGGCGAAGTTGGCAATGCCGATGGCATTGCTGGGGTCCAGCTGCTGCACCAGGAAGTCACTGCAGGCACGGACAACACTGTCAATCTGGTACATGACGGCGCCGTTCATGACATGGAGCACGCACTTCTCACCCATGGAGATGGAGGCCGTGTAGGCGAACTCGATGAGGCGCTCCATGACCTTGGGATGGATGCCCTCGATGGACACCACCTCCATGCCCTGCTCCCGCAGCCCGTTGGTGAACATGGCCTTAAAGACGGGGCTGGATGAGGCCAGCACCACCTTGTGGGCCATGAACTGGGCGGCTGGTGCATCCTCGTACTTGACCTGCAGCGTGACATCACACAGCTGCTGGCTGAGCCGCAGCTCGTTCATGATGCCAAAGGCCTGCTTGGTGTGGTCCTCCAGCGTGTAGCTGAAGGTGCGGTTGCCATGCTGGGAGGGCGTCACCTCGGCCTTACACTCAGTAGAGGCGTACATCACTGCGTCCCCTGCCCCCTCGGGGCACTGTGACTGCAGGGGCAGGAATCGGCTGTGGGCTCCAGCCCTGCTAGGCTTGGGGTCCAGCTGCATGAGGCTCCTGGCGACGAGCAACAACACCACCACTGGCACTCAGGGACCTGGAGGAGGAGGGCACAGAGCTAGGGGCAGGGCCTGGGGCTGGGCCAGTGCCCGCCTGCCAGGCCTCCCTTTGTAAGATAAAGCCATTCCCACATCAGCTTTCCTTCCCAAGCAAACCGGATAGAGTGGCATCCATTCCAGTTCCCTAAATGCCCCCGACCTTACCAGCTCAAGAGCCCGTCTTAAAACATAGGTCAGGCCATGCCCCTCCCCTGCTCAGAATCCTCTGACAGCTCCCCAAGGCACTAAGAATGAAACCAAACTCCTCAGGGGCCTGCGAGGTCCTGCCCAGTCAGCCCCTGCCCCCTCCTCCCTTTCTTTGCTCGCTCTGTCCCAGCCATCTGGAGCATGCCCTTCCTAGGGCATGCCAAGATCATTCCTTTATTCACACTTACTGAGTGCCTAATGTGTGCCAGGTACTGTTCCAGGCACTGAGGACACAGCAGTGAGCAAGACAGACAAAACCCCCTGCCCTTGCAGAGCTGACATTTGGGGAGGAAAGGACCGTAAATAAAATAAGTAAAGCCACAGCAGAAACCTGGAGAGTCCGGGGGGAGGAGGAGCGGAGCTGCCCGGCGAGTGGTGGGAGACAAGCTGGAGGGTTCGCATAAAGCCCGAGGACGCAGAGGGTCAGGTCTGAGTCGTGTTTTGAAAGGTCTCCACACCAGCTGGCCTGGAGGGGGGAGATGGATCTGCAAGGGGCTGGCTAGGTTCTCCTCCTCATTGCAATTGAGTCAGCTCCTCCCTGATGCATTTTCATCATAGCACTTGTCAGGAACTGAAAGGATCTCCTTGGCTTATTGATGAGGAATTGACCATCCTTGTCACACACAGCCTCAGCGCTCCAGCAGGCAGGGGGCCCCTGTCTAGGTCACTGCTGTGCCTCCCCACGCTGTGCCACCCCCACGTCCTGCCCAGGTTCTGACACTGCGCAGGGCTCAGTAAACACCGGGCTATCTGGCTGCCTGCCCACCCCGCTGCGCCGTCTTCCACCGGGACCCAGGGCGCAGCTTAGCTCCCTCTCCCTTGCCAAGGTCCAGCGCCTGCTTCTCTGCCTTCGGCCAATCGGTCATCGGTGCCCCCTGGCCACAGGGCACTCCCCTCACGAAGCGACAAGTGGGGACTGCGCATGCCCGCATGGGCCGCCACCAAGGCTCGAAGAAGGCAGGAAGTGACCCTACCGCGGCCTCTCGCCTGCCAACCCCAGAGCACGGACCAAGCCTCCCAAACACCTCGGGGTCCCCGCGCCTCATTGCGAGCGGCGCTCCCTGGGCCTCCCGTCCGGTTTTCGTCCCTATTGGGCCACACCGCGGGTCACGCCGTCCAACAAAAGGATCAGACCCGGGGCGCGCCTCCAGGCCGTCCCGGGCCGCGGGGAACCCCCAGGCGCCCGGGCCCGCGACGCCCC